CTTTTACATAACTGTTGGCCTTAAACTTGAGACCACACATACACTACATTTCATCTTAGTCACTCATCTACCTAATTACATGGATCAACCAACACATGGCACTCATGGCCTTTTACAAAACAGAACTTTACACTTGGCATCTTATTCTAAACTTTTCAGCTCAACACTTATAATTCAACATATACACAACCAGACTATTCAAATTCTTTCGAAATCTTTCAATGGGGAGTCTCGTACGCCTATACAGCCCCTTAGAGTTCTCTACCTGCCAACTTTCTAGCAAACCATTTTCAACATACTACTAGATAGTAGATAACACAGTTATAACCAAGTGCCACACCATTTTATGAAACCGAAGGCTTCCCGTTACAACCCATACACAAGTGGAAGTGTTCGGCTAGAGTTTTGGCGATATCCATCATCTCAAAGACAATAATATCTTCAGGGAAAAACCAAAACAATCATGGTAACATAAAACAATTAGGTGCAATTTTAACATTAGCCCCTCTTAACTAGTGCGGAAATCCTCAATTTTTGCCTCTATCTAAACTACCTATTAATAAAATCCTCCTTGTAAAAAAAGGGGGGGGGTGAAAACTGAAAAGACTATGTAGTCTTCTATCACAACAAAAAAATTATGGGCAATAATCTAATTTTACAAAATTAAAATATTTATCAAATATAGCCAAATATTAGCCCATAATTTCAAAAATGTCAATTTTTATAAAAACTTTTAAATATATCCAAATATCACTTATATAAACACAAATACCCTTAAGCTTTAAACCTAATAAATTAAAAATTCAAAGCCCTATTAGATGAAGAGTTCCCACGGCTAAACCTAAAAATGGTGCTTTCTCTTATACCAGTCTTTCAGCTACTAGTAACCGAATACGTTTCCCTTTGGAAATCTAGTAGTTGACAGGGAAGATGGAACAATACATCAAGCAGTGGTAAAGATAATCAAGAATAGATGAAGAAGTTGATGAAGAAGGGCAATATACTATCAAAGTGAACAAACAAAAATGAATTAACTTTTATTTGTCTTAAATTTAAAGGATTGTACAACCAATATAAACAATGAAATGATAGAAAGAAAATTTTATACATTAAACTGTAAATTTAAAAGGGTTCTACAAAGTAGGATGAAGTTGAACGGGATTCCTACAAGTTTGCTTATAATGGTCATTTAAACCACATTTTGAACACTTTTGAGTTGATTTTTCTAAAAGGGTTTTGGTCATTTAATTCATTAGGTTTAAAATTTAAGGGTATTTGTGACTATTTAAGTGATATTTTGGATATATTTGAAAGTTTTTATAAAAACTAACATTTTTGAAATTAGAGGCTTATATTTGGCTATATTTAATAAATACTCCAAAATTTTGCTGCTTTTTATGTAAGACTCACCTACATGTGATTTTAGCATATATCTAATATTTAAAAATAAAAAACCAAAAATTCTCTCCCCACTCCCATGTTCTCTCTCCCTCTCCTTCCCATTTTATGAACAAAAATATAAAATGTTCACACACACAAAGTGTGTAGGCATATGCTAGTTTCTAATTAATAGGTGCAAATGTATTGGTCTTTACTTGTTCATAGTTTTGTAGTGAGTCAATCAACTGTATCAAATAGATAGATGATTCATAATGTTTTTATTGAATCCATCAATATATTTTTATACAATTTGATGACTAAATGATGTCATATTTTTATTGATTTTTTAGAGATGACTTTTACAAAGGGATTTATAATATTAACGGTTCCAATCATAAACACGAAACCTAAATTCCAAAATCTGAACCATCCAAATATTATTGGTTAAGAACTAGAATGTACTTGAATATTTCGAATTTGATCCGAAAATTCTAAAACTTGCTAACTCAACAGACACTTAAATCATATACTTAAATATGAATATACTTTTACAATTACAAGTTCTTTAACTATATTACTTACACTAATTAAAGATATATATTATGTAGTGAGAAAGCCCAAGAAATGGGATACTTTTGATTTTGATATAGACTAATCTGAAGAAGAAGAAAAAATATGAAATTAATCCGATTAGTTCTAAATAGGCATGAGTTTTTGAATTTCTAAAATTCCCATTATGAAATTGGAATTGATATTCATTTTTGAAACTTTTTGGATTGAAACTGGAATCTTGTAATTGATCTGATCCCACACTAAAGTTCAAAATCATAATCCACTTTTCCCTCCCCGTTATTCTTGTTGCTTCCTTCACTCTCTTTTCTCTAACCCTAACCCTAATTAACCTAATCCCAATATGATCAACTAAATAAAGGTGGGGAGAAGCATTGTACTGCCAAACAAAGTTGCCATAATGCCACTAATTGGTTGGTTTTGTAGCCATGGACCTTTGTTTTAATTTCTCTTGGGATACCTTTTGCTTACCGTCGTAGTTTTTCCTTCAAGCAAAAACTAATACTTGGTGATATATATATTTATATTAAACTCTTTTTCTCAGCATATAGTGAAAAATATCTTGTCAAATATCTTTGTGGGGTTGTTGTAGTGGATAGCTGCATTACAAGCTAGAAGGTGGAACCCTAGCCGCTCTGCGCATTTATTTTTTTGGAATATCAAAGAAGATGGAGACAGCAAATGGGTGAGAAAAATGGGTGCCAACTTTGCAAAAATAGTGTATATATCTACAATTCAATTAATCAATATTAATTTATAGCACCACTTGCCCTTGATACCATTGAAATTTCAGCCCACAGAAGCTCTAACCCTATTGCCAGCACCTGGTTTTGCTTAGTTTCCTGTTTCAGTTTAATTAGACCCCCTAGCTCTGTTTTAATGGATGTAACAAGACAAGCCAAACTTGCCCTTTTTATGACAAAATAAATCGGGATGGCAACTGGTATCAAATCCCATATATCTTTGGTCCTATATCTTTACCCATGGTACAATAAATATGGATGGCCTGCAACTTGATCATACCGTAGATAGTAACTGGGTAGCTTGTAAGGTATATCTGCTCAATTGGCACATTGGATTATTATTCAGTCTGAATTTGGTTGCCGCTAGTATTAAAAAACCACCATTGAGAACTAGATAAAGCATTGCACACAATCACTTAGTCTGGTTTTTGCTTTGATAAACCCTCAGTCAGTTTTTTGTTTTGTTTTGGTTAGTAGAAAATGCATTTTTATATTTTGAGTTGGTATGTATTTGTTTTCCTCACTCCCTTTATGAATTTTATCCCACTTGAAAAGGTGAAGTCTTGCATTACATAATAAATGTGACGTATCATTGCTAATAATTTATTTGAATTGGTATAGAATGCAATCCTATATATTGCATATTCATCTTAATTATTAAGCAGAAAATCTTCGATCGATTTTTCTTGTCCTTGCTAACATAAAAAAATGGAGCATTTTCTCACTCCAATCATCTTATACCACTTATACCATTTTGTATTTTTATTTCAATCTTATCTAACAGATTGTGTTTATTTGCACGTTTTAGATGACCAAATAATTTTGAATCCAAATGATTTTTTATCGCTAGTTTGAGAAACTGGATCTAAAATATAGATATATAATTTAGAGTGTCCACGAGGGGTAGTATTGTTTCATTTTCTAGTACATCAAATGAAACCAACTTAAAATTCAACATGTATAAAACTTCATAATTCAGTAACTAATATAGTTCCAACTCAGAGATTAATAACTTCAAAGTTCTATGAATTTTGACATCAACATTCTTACTATAGTTATTAGACAATAAAATGATATAAAAACAAATATATATATATATATATATATATATATATATATATATATATATATAAATCAGTGATCTGTCCGGTTCGATTTCGGCTAGTTTGTAAAAGCTATCATTATGACCACTCCTGCACCATAAAGTTAAAAGATATCATTATGACGTATAGAAGATTGGTTGCATAGAGAGATTATTAACCATTTGTACTATAATCATTTTAATATATCGCAATAGCAACGTTCAAAAACAGGTTGATTAGGATTGGGGAAGTGGGAAATGAGGTGTGCGTATATATATATAATTTGGAAGAGATATCTCACAGCCAAAAAAAGGCAAAGAAAATGAAGAAGGACGTACCTTAAATATGCATAATGCGTTACTCGTAGAGGGTTTCTTGCTCAAGTCAGTAGCATTTCTTGTTGTCTCATTCCTAGTCCACCTAGGTGCCTCCTAAATAAATAATATAAAATTTTAAATTTCAAAACAAAACAAAATTTAAATATTTATAAATATCATTAACACAAATCTCGTGGTGTATTATTTTACATATTATAACAAGGACAGATGACATGATTAATATATCTCACTTCTATGTTATATTAATAAATTAAAAAATAAAAACCAATGTACTTGTTATATTTGATGAATAAAATAGTAAGAACATCTCCAATGAAGATATGCAAATTTAGGATACAAGAACTATATTTACATCCTATTTTACATTTTAGAAGTGTAAATGGGGGTAACCACTCCAATGGGAGAGAAGTAAATTTAAGATCCTATTTAATTTCTCTCTTTGATTGGTGGACCAACTACTAATAGATGTATAAAAAAAGGTAGTGTTATCCAAACATCATTTTTTTACCTTGCACACACCTTTTGTTAATTTATGTCATTGATATTCTTCAATCGTTCGACTCGATGATCGAAAATTGAGAAGAGTGTGTATGAGGTAAAAAGGAATGTGTGAATAGCATCACCATATAAACATATAAATTTAGGTTTTTATTTACATTTTTCGACTAAGATGAATATTCTACATCTTGTCATTGGAAAGTTTTTCAACCATCAAAAATGTAAAATACACATGTCAAAATATTTTGCATCTTTTATTGGAGATACTCTAACATCACGTCACCGTCTTTTTACGCCTAAAGTTGCTCGTAAATGGTGGCACTTAATTTTTTCTCTCTTTAATACCTAGCCATTCCTCTTCTAACCCTTTAAATGCTCCTTCCCCTTTAAATTCTTATAGTGAGCTCCCACTGCCACTCAACACTTCATGTCTAGTTTTTCCATTCCTCATATGATGATGGAGGAAATGTTTTCAGGCTTATTGAGAGCCACATTCAGGTCTAAAGAGGTTGTTTCTTTGTGGGTTTTGGCTGCAATTGGTGATTCCAGCGGCGGAGCTGTGATTCAAGTCACAAAACGAGTTGTTTTTGCTGCATTTACCTGCTTTCTTGCACTAGGTATGTTTCTAAGCTCTTGGATTAATTGTTTTCTGGGGAATTTCTGTACCGTCGAGGTTTCTTTTAGTAAAAAAAGATTTGGTGCCACATAAACTTGACATTTTCAACTATCCCATGTGGGTTATGTAGGAGGAGCTGTAGTGGGAGCAATTCATGGAGCGATCAAAGGCCAGACAACGGAGACGGGGTTTCTTAATGGTGCCGGCATAGGCGGTTTGACAGGGGCTATTGCTGCCATTCAATTGATGGATTTGGCAGTGGACGGCGAGTTGTTGTCTAAGGTAACCCCTTGTGTACGTAAAGAGCACATAATGGCACGTACCACCAGAGTTCGACTCTCGTCCTCATTTCTACTTGAATATTAAGATTGGTCTAAATCTCAATTCTTATAATACTTGTTTAAATTTCCTTTGTAGGTTGCTTTCTTGGTAGGTATGGTAAATGGGAAGGTGTTTATGGAATGGGTGAGTTCTGCATTGCTAAAAGCCTATCACTGGCAAGTAAGTAGCATTATTTCTCTACCTAAACCAGCATCGAGTAGTTGTTTTTCTCTTTTTAAATATTTAATTAGTATAGTTAATTTAGTTAACAATGGCAAACTTACTGAGCAGGTTAGCAATCTGGAAACAGCTTACAGAGAGATTTCTGAAATCTATGACATTGGTGGAATGAAGGGGTTATCGCACGATTGCATCCAAAAGCTCCCTCAAAGTACATTTCACAGCAGCAGGAGCAGCAATATCATCGAGTCTTGCAGTGAATTTTGCTGCTCAATTTGCTTACAGGTGGGTTCCAACATATCTTAACTGCAATCTAAATTAGTATGCAAAAGGTTTGAAAAGTTGTTGGATCAGCATTTGGCCCTATACAACTATGAGCTAACCTTTCAAGAAATCAATTGTGAGAGAACCATAAATCTATTCCAATAAAGCCCACAAGCAACAAGGGAGGATGGAGAAATTAGTTAAAAATAGTCCAAGTAAACGGTTCAGATGCATCTCTAATGTAACAAAGAAAAAGTTTTAATGCGCTGCAACTACAACAGTGTCCTTAAAACTTATAAGCCTCATTTGGTGGATAGATCAAAACATATTGAGATTAAGTTCGTCCCATAGAGTTCCATCTTTTGGAAGGTGATTTGTTTCTCTAATACGCAAGATAATTATCCAATTTAATAAGTCTGGCCCGACCATTGCTTAGATCACCAAACATAAACTAGAAAACATGTTCATTTAATTGAATTTGCCGTCTTGTCCCTTCCACCAAACCAGAATCTAACCAATTAAGTTAACGCTAATCACTATTTATCACAATGTGATTTTGATGTATATTTATATTTGCAGGAATTTAAGGATGGAGAGAATGCAAGAGAACTTCCCATTTGTGGGCATTTGTTTCACATGGCCTGCATAGACCAATGGCTAAAGCGACAAGCCTCTTGTCCTATGTGCAGACTACATGTCCGCATTGAAAACGTAGTAGATTTTAGGGATTGCTAGTATGTTCTAAGGTGTTCTATATACTGAGATTTTTAGTCTTTGAATTCTCGGTAACTATTGCAAGAGAGGTAGTAATTTTGTAACGTGCAAAAACTTAGTATTTACACCTAAGTAAATAGTTTTGTATTTCTTTTAGTCAAAAATTATTTTTGTATCAGCATACATATGCATGAATCATCCTGATATTTGATATATTTACAAACCTAATTAAACATTTTGACATAAAAATAGAAACCTATAAAACACACCACTATCATCTTCATTTCCAAGATATTTTCTATATACTACATGTATCCAAGTGAATACATGTGCCAATGTTTAAGTCTTTCACGGGTGAATGGTTAAGATTTAGTTAAATCTAATTTAGTTAAACACATTAAATTTAAGAGGTATTTGTTGGTTTATTCTCAAACTTGTATAGACCTGTCAATTTTCATCTTAAACTTTAATTTTAGCCTATTACTCCCTAAACTTTTATAATTAGCCGATTTTCCCCCTAAACTTTAACTTTAACTGATTACACCCTAAAATTTTATAAATAGCTAGATTTTAAAAATTTTCATCCATCAATTTTCCAGTCGTTTTGCCCCCATACAATTGTCATGTGTTGTCCACATGATCAAAATGGATAGAAAATTGAATGGAATTTTTTATAATCTAACGTAAATTGACTATTTATAAAAGTTCATGAGGGTAATTAGCCAAAATTAAAGTTTAAGTGGAGAAATTAAAGTTTAGAGAGAAATTATACAAGTTTAGAGACAAATCAACAATCATGCCTAAATTTAAATTAGTTAAACGGTTAAACCTTAACCGTTCACCTGGAAAGAAAAATGTACAAAAAATAATATACAATTGTTTTATTTAAACCCCACAATTTGTTGAAAACACCCCACATTCAAAATTTCTTCTTACAATTCCAGCTTTACCCTTCGTTTTGTTGAATCCACCTCACCTCCCACCCACAAACAATAAAATCCCACAGCTACCCACCCCACAACCACAACCACAACTTCGCCGATGACCCCATTCAATTTTAATTTTCTTTCTTTCATAGTTATGCTTTTGTTTGGCATTTGACATAGGATTGAGGGGAATGATCACACATGCATTGGGCTACTGCGATTATGGATGAAAATGCAACCTATAAAACTGTTAAAAACCCCTTTCCATCATTTCCATGATAGACTGTTTAGATGTTGCGATGAAATTTTTATGTTTCCCTGATAAGCTAGTTTAGATTTATAAAGTATAGCTAATTGCATGAAATTTCAATTTTGTGTTTTGGCTATGTTGAATGGAATCACAGGAGAAGGGTGGTGGTGGTGGGTGGGTGGCTATGTTAGATTTTTTGTATTTGGGAGGTGGGGTGAATTCAGCAAAAGGAAGGGTAAAGTTGGAATTGTAGGAACAAAATTTAATTATGGGGTGTTTTCAACAAATTATGGGGTATGAATAAAAAAACCCATAATATACACTGACTTATAATACAACGGTTGGAGCCAACCAAATTCGGCCCAAAGAAAAAGCCCACTAACAAAAATCAAGTAAAGCCCAAGAAGAAAAAGAAATTAGAGGATCTGAACAGAAAAAACAGAACAAATAAAAAGCGAGTGAGTGACGCCAGTCACCATTCACCAACCATCAGCACTTCAGCAGTTGCAACAAGTCCAACAGAGACCGACAGACTCCCAGAGAGAGAGAGAGAGAGAGAGAGAGATATGGCATGGTGTGCGGCGAGGAGCTATCACATGCCGGCGGTCGACATGGGCGCATTGTGCACCCGGGCTCCGTTAGCCGCCGGCGCGGGCTTTGCCTCGGTGGCCGGCTCCACTCTCTGGCGATCCTTGGCTTCATCGAAGCCCTCGTCTCGCTTTGCTTGCTTAGCCATTTCCACCGATGCTCGTAAATTCCAACTTTTTAATATCTCTCTTTTATTTTGATTTAATTGGATTTCCAATTTACCTCTGGTTGGTTACTTGGATTAGAAATCCGGTTCCTGTGTTTGGTTGCTTAATTGGAATCCCCTTTTGATCAATTCTGGATAAAGGTTTGTACTTTGCGTTTGAATTTAAAGACTGGCAGTTTTTCTTTGGTTGGATTTTAGGAATTAAGGAAGCTGTTCACACAGACAAGGCTCCGGCTGCATTGGGACCGTATTCTCAGGCAATCAAAGCCAACAACTTTGTCCATGTGTCGGGTTGTCTTGGTCTGATTCCAGAGGTTTGTGTCTTGGATTTTTGTTTTTGTTTTTACCACTTTAATCCATTAATGTTGGTATGAACTGGGTGATATGAGCTTATGTTGTTTAAATGCAGACAGGGAAGTTTGTGTCGGATAATGTTGAAGATCAGACAGAGCAGGTATTGATGATGCTCTGATGTGTTGGTTATACTTGTGTTGTTTATTTGGATTTGAGATGGTTATATGATCGATTTTATACTTTAATTTCTATGCATTTGGTTGGTGAAATGTTCTTGATTTTTAACTGCTTAGTGGTCAAAGCTACAACCTTCGAAACTGATAAACTTTGCTATGAGTTAGAAACTTAGAAGTAAGTGACAGTTGACGGAAATCGGTACTGTTTGAGATTTTGGCGGTTGCAGGATCTTAAATTATCGAGAATCCTGTTTCGTATCTTTGCAAAAATGATGGTGACACTAATACAAGTCTTCAAGAGATTACTAAATAGGGGTTACTGCAATTAGATGTTTACTATAAAACTTAAATTATCTCTCTTTCAGAGTTCTAATCCAAGTCGCCAATTAGTAATCTCCGACACTAAATATCATATCTATCTTGCAAATCTTCATCAAGGAGAAGTTGAATTTGTTAACATAATTGTTGGTTTTTAGTGTTGTCGGCTTTGCAAAAGAGTATAGTTGATAGCATTGCTGTGTGACTGCTTTTGAAAGACTTGGGCTGACGAAACTATTGCAGGTTCTAAAAAATATGGGGGAAATACTGAAAGCAAGCGGGGCCAGCTATTCTTCTGTGGTTAAAACGACTATTCTGTAGGGATTCTATTTTTATCTTTGCAGAATCTTGATTGGAGACTTTAGTGTTGGCGATGAAATTCATTGTCTCTCATGTCCATGTAGGTTGGCTGATTTGAAAGACTTCAAGAAAGTCAATGAAATCTATGCTAAATGTGAGTTTTATAGAGATATAAATTTGACATTGGAGATTGAATTCTTAATTACACTTTTTGTCTTCCATCTGTTCAAAATTGTAAGCCATAAGGGTATCTAGCTATGATAGGACATTCGGGAAGATAGAATGGAGCTGACTTTAACTCTTCAATTCTCGTTTTATTTGTGCTAATCTCATTTACCACAATCTTACGCTCAAATTACCTGTTAAAGTTCGTAGAAACAGATTTGGCTTTGCTTAATTTTTGGTACAAATTGCTTGAAGCGTGATGAGTGGTTAAATCTTGTTCTATTTCTGAAGGGGGTGTCAATTTCCTGTAACTCTGCTCCTTCACAGCGGGGAAGCAAGTAAAATAGAAAAAATCACATTGGGGTTGGGGATAATCAGGCTCCCTTGAACACACACAATCCTTTATTTTATTTAACTGGTCCATGACTCTTTTGATTCGATAAGTTATGTGCAACACAACAGTGACAACCATTTACTTGTTCATTTAACTTTGACTATATTATATGGTTTTGTGTTGCAGATTTTCCATCTCCAGCCCCAGCACGTTCAACATTTCAGGTAGCGGCGCTGCCATTGGATGCCAAGATTGAAATTGAGTGTATTGCAGCACTGTAACCTACCAATACACAGCGTCGTCTCAGCAACTTAGATAATAATGTAGGAGGTGACATCTTTGAGTGTTGAGTTTCACATTTTTATTTCCTCCATGGCCTCCTGCCAGTTGTTATTGTAACATTGCTTTTGTATCTAAAAACTAAAGAGCAGGACCAACGACGTTATTGAAATGGAGCTTTCCCTGCTTTTCCAGTCTTGAGTAATTATAATTGTGTTTATGTTTCACTCTATGTTGCTATGCCCTCCTTTCGGTTGTGCTTTATGCCTCTCTCTTAGATTTAACTCGTCTCGTTTTGTTAGAGAATGTGAAGGGCTCTTTCTCAGATTTTTAACCAGGACGGTAATCAAAGAAACAAGAAGAAAACTGAAATTTATAGAGGGAGAAATCAGGGAGCCAAGTTGTGTCGCCAATGGAGAAATCAAGGAGGGGAAGACGAAACCAGCATTGAAAAGCCTGCCTACAACAATGCCGTTTTGAGGAACACAGACTAAGCTTGACTTTCTAGTCTCTCAATAAACTAGTAATAATATGGTTTAAATTTACTTTTAGCAAGAATCAAATTTAAGACATTTCACTTACAAGTAAAGAAGAATATCACTACACTGTAATGTATTGTAAACTTTTGAATCGGAATTAGAGACAACTGATGTTTCTCTTTCCTTTTTTCTTCCTAGGTTTTTTTGGTTCGATGAGAGAGCTGGTATAAGTGAGGAGAGATTCTTTGTTGCAACCAAGGTATAGTTTTAGTGGTATTGCCTGTCCATAGATATATTCAAAAAATGTATATGTTTGACAAAAAATATATAATGCATGTTAGTGACGAATCCGACCTTTGCTGGGTTGGGTTATAAACTTATAGCCCGACTGAGATTTTGGAGAAAGATGTAGTACCCATTATAATAATTCTCTTGCAAATATCTTTCACTGTTGGTAGATTTAGAAAAATAATCTCTTGAGAGAATATTGCCTTGATTAGGCTCTTTACCCAAAGAGATTTCCATTTTTTGTTAAAAATGGGGACTGGTTGTAGGGTAAATTTCACGTTGAATTTTAACAATTCAAACAGTCTATTTTGTACGTCTCAATTCATAAATCATCCTTGTAAAAATTCAATTTATCCGAAATATTTGCCTATTTAATTATTACGATGAAATTTCATTGTTTCTTATATAACAATGTGTTTGTTAATTTCTTTGAACTCAATTAGGCGTCTCAAATATTTCCGATTTGGCTAATATTTTGTAAGGATTATCTATAAGGTCCAACTTGAAAAATAGACGGTTTAGATAGTTGAAAGTCGATGTGGTGTGGCCCCATAAATACATTAAAAAATCATAATAATTCATTTACAAGTATAAAAAATGTGAAAAAATATATGCAAACGCTCGTGATTGCATCCTCTACGCTTTGATGAGTACATTGTCGTTTGAATTTTTAAAACTCTACAAACCCTCATGAATAGTGTTTTTAAGGGGGAGTTCAAAATAAATAAAAATTCGTAATAATTAATGTACAAGTTGAAAATTGTAAAAGAATATATAAACGTTCGTGATTGCATTCCCTGCGCTTAGATACATCGTCATTTAGATTTTTAAAACTCTCCAAACTCTTATGAATAGCTTTTTTGTTTGAGTACAAAATTAATAATTCACAATAATTACATAGAGGTGTGAAAAATGTAAAAAAAAATATACAATCACTCGTAATAACAAACTTTACAACTTTCCTGAATGGCTCAACTCCGAAATCTGACACCATAATCCATAAACCCTTGATTTATATTTAACCATCGATTGTCATTTACGCTATATTTTTCTCACCGGATTTTATTTCTCAAATTTTCTTGTTTGAAAACATCTTTTAGCAAATGCAGAAAAATGAACAGTTCGGATCGTTGATATCACGTTCCGATGTTTAAGGTTAACTGAAATATGAGCCGATGTTATATATTTTCTAGAGACTTCACTAACCGTAACAATCTGAACGTGATATTAACAATCGAAAATGTTCATCTTTCTGCTTTTGCTAAAAAAAACATGTTTTCAAAATAGAAAATCTGAAGAAAAAAAAAATTTGGTGAGAATAATGGAGCATAAATATAAACTACAATCAACTGTTAAATTTAATCCTATGGTTTATGGGATTATAGTGGATGGTATACGACCTGACTTTTTAACATATTGGGTATATCATGAAAATGATATGAATACAAGAAACACGATACAAATGTCAGGTTTCAATGTATGAGTACAGAGTAACAGTTTATATTACAATATTATGCACTTTCTATTGGCCCTTCCTTACAACGGTATATATCCCAATTTCAATTACAAATTAGTTCTCCCATGTCACACGTTTCTTCCTTCCACCACTCAGATTGTCTTTGAACCTTTTTGTCCAAAATTTTCAAGATACGGTTCAGTTTTCCTGTCTTTATGTGCTGCAAGCGCAAGAATTCTAAGATTACAGTCCTTTAAACAAATAGAGACAAACAACTAAGTAACATATATTAGTATTAATTAAGAATAGAGACCAAATAACTAATTAGAACGTCACACCTAACATTGGTTTTAAATTAGCCACATAATACTAAAATTTATTGGTATTTTTCTTTACTAGTAAGTGAGAAATTTTAGGACAACTAATTAGAACTAATTAGAACGTCACACCTAACATTGGTTTTAAATTAGCCACTTAATACTAAAATTTATTGGTATTTCTCTTCAATTGTAAGTAAGAGGTTTTAGGTTCGATTCTACCTAAAGGTAAATTTGAACCATATTATTGCTAGTCCATTATGAGGCTTTGTCGACTCCCTCCTTTAGTGTAGATCGTTTGTTCAAGAAAAAAAAAAAAGAGGTATTTATCAATTCCCCCCTGAACTTGTGACCATTGGCCAATTTCCCCCCTCAACTTTAATTTTGGCCAATTTCCCCCCTCAACTCTCATAATTAGTCAATTTCCCCCTCAACTCTCATAATTAGTCAATTTGCACCCTACTGTTAATTTTTTTTAATTTTCCATCTATTCTTTTTTTTTTCTTTCAATCTTTCTAATAACTTCCAACAAAGTACTAAAATTAACATAAACTCACATGCATAATATAGGGTAAAATGTACAAAAACATAATACAATTAGTATGTGATATGGGTTGATTATAAGAAAAAGTTATGAATCAGGTTTAAAGCATGTAGAAGAAGAAATAATAATCCTAAACTCATGGATCAGACATATTTCAATAAAATGAGTTATTCTTAATAAGGAGTCGAAAATTATGAATTGACTAGCCATTTTTGCACTAAAGCTCGATTCTCCGCAATTTACTTGAACTTAGCTTTCACTTTTATAAAGAAAATTGTATTCACATACAAAAATGTACACATCAATCCTTTTCGTTATCAATTTTGTATAGTAAAAAATCAAATAAAATTACTCCATACTGATTTATTATGACTAATAATACTATCTATGATAAATTGTAAAATTCTAAATTTTAATCTATTTGTAATAGGATAAAGACATAGGAAAATGATTAACATACATTTTATTTAGTTTCTTACACACACTTGTTAATTATGATCAAATTAAAAAATTAACAGTATGGTGCAAATTGACTAATTATGAGAGTTGAGGGGGGAAATTGGCCAAATTAAAGTTGAGGGGGGAAATTGACTAATTGTGAGAGTTGAAGGGGGGAATTGGCCAAATTAAAGTTGAGGGGGGAAATTGACTAATTGTGAGAGTTGAGGGGGGAAATTAGCCAAAATTAAAGTTGAGGGGGAAAATTGACCAATAATCACAAGTTCAGGAAGGAAATTGATGAATACCTCAAAAAAAAAAAAAAAAAACCACTCCTACTATAAACCTTCCTAGCACTCTAAAAAAATAAACTCAATATAAATATAAAATTAGTATCCAATGAAAGTTGACTACGCAATAAAAAACAGATAAAATGTGAAGATCCTACAGAATCCGGAGAGGATCTTAAGAGGATCTCATCCTGATTAAAGGTAAGAAAGATGCGACTCAAATTGCACTCCTAAGACAGAAAGGTCAGTCCATGATGTAAACGTCAATAGGTTGTTGAAATTTTCCAGGTCCTGAAAGGGAAAGAGAATAATATTAATTTTAAATTCTATTTTATTTTATTTTATTTTTAATAATATTTGAAATCCCCTTAATATTTCTCATTGTTTAATATGATGTTCATCTTATTTGTGTGCTTGGAACTTGGAAGTAGTAGAAACTTCCTATCCTTTGCTTTCCACCCGTAGTCAACACTCTTTGCCTTTTCACTAACGCGTAAGGTTTTTTGCTTTTGTTTAAGATTTAAAAATGTGAAGGTTTTCCTTTAACTCCTTTTAATTCAATTGTAACTTATTACTAAAGGGCACTATAATTTTTGAAATTACTGAAGAGAAATTTATGATATTTGGTATTAAGATTAAAATTTGCGGTGATGAGCTTTAGGGCTAGTTTGGAGTTGGTGTATTGTAAAAAAATGATGTTCTCAAGGATAGAGCTTCTTTTGCTTTTTGTTGTTTCGGACTCATGATTTGATGAAAAACACTTCTTTTTTAATTTACCAAACACAATTTTAGCTTCAATTTTTTAAAAACTGCTTTTAAAATAATTTCAGCAATGCCAAACTAGTCCTTAATCTTATGGAAAATAATATTCCAATCCTTGATAAAGATTACTTTTTGATAAAACATTGTCTAAGATTAAAAACTAACTCTAATCCTTGAAATTTAATTCTAATTTTCTAATATTAATTAGGTTGTAAATTATATATTGATTCTCATAAATACTATTTTTTTATCATTCATAATTATTATTAAGTTCCTATAATAAGAATAGTCATATATTACCCTCTATTTTTTGGTGTGCGTGAATTTTTCCACATATATATATATATGCATATTGCGTACCTATGTTTAGATTTTATAATTACGTACCAATACATTCGTACCAAAAATTAGACGGTTGAAATCATCGAAGTTCGATATATAATGAGTTCCACAACTAATCATCATTTAAAAAAAAACAATAATATCTTCCCTTAAAAGTCTTCATGTACATAAGTACTTAAATAAAGTAAGTTTTGAAAATAGGGATTTAATTTAGACTTTAATCATTGTGAGGTTTAACCAAACTCCCTCATCCCTTTATCCCTTCGGTGTAATTTGTTAAAAAAAAATCTAAAGAGAATCTTATTTAACCCCTAAAACCCGTTAATCTTAACGCTTTTGGGGTACTCTCTTGTTATATATGAAAGAAATGACAGCATCAACAGCGGAAGAAGGAAGTTGTTAGAAGATGGAAATGGAGATGGAGATGGAGATGGAGATGGAAAGCTATATGAAAGACAGCAATGTAGGTGTTGGCGTCGTCGTTGGTGGAGTAGAGACGCCCACTGACACTGCCAATCACAAGCTTGCTGCTCGGGTCCTCCCTCCCTCCCTACCCTCTCTCTCTCTCCCCCCAATCAATTAAGTTCATTAGTTCCTCTAAACAAAATTTCTGTATGCATGGTTACCAACTCAATTTTCGTATTTTATTTCAACTTCCAGGCCTTGCTGAAGTCGTGGATCCCAGCCTTGATTTTTGGAGCTGTATGTCAATTTATAAAAGGTGCGTGCGGTACTGTTGTTACTCTAAAAATCGCAAGTCTGTTGCCTCTTGGTTGGCTGTTTTTTTTCGTTATGTTACAGTTATTTATGTATGATTCTAGTCCATATACGGTTGTGCAGCAAAAGGTAGTTGGGAGATTAACGAGATAAAGACAACGGAGAAAGCAATTGCAACTAGGTACTACTGTCACAGGTGTCGTCAAGTGGTCACTGTGGATGTCGAAACATCATGCCCTTCCTGCCAAGGCGGCTTCATCCAAGCATGCGAGGGTGTTGCCTCACTCTACCTAGCCATGCCATCCGAGTCTGAGCTTTCTGAAAGTGGTTCAGATGGAGAGAGCACCACTGTAATTTATCCTTTGATCAAACTTTCCTTGTCTTAGCTCTTAAAACAGATTTTCTTATCGTATATATTTATCATTTGAAAGTTGAAACGAACTGTGAAGTAACCTTGGCGATTACAACTCTTGATTGCAGGGTCTTTATGATTCAAATCCCAGTGGTTTTGTTACACTTGACATTAATTCTTGCGATGTAAATAATGAGGTTGACGAGCAACGCCACGAGAAAAGGGTATTGGTCGAGAGTTTCTGTCAGCTGGTTTTTATCCTTGGGATGGGAAGGTTCTCTGTTTTCTAATAAAGAAAAGAGAAAATTATAAAACTGGTCTTTCAATTTTACCCAATTGAAGCAAAGGAGTATTTTTGCTCAGCACTTTTAAGTAGTGATAATATTCATCTTCCTAAAGATTTTGAAATTTAAACTTATCTAACGATGATAAATAGGGTGATCAAAATCACCATCACTTAAGATTGGTGAGAAAAAATATTCTGCGTTTGCTCATCACTAATAACCTTGGTGGATGCCCACCACTCCTATATAAATCTGTCACGTGTCATTTTTCTTAACCATAATAAGAATCTATTGAAATTAACTAGCATATGCCCACACACTTTGTATGTGCGTGGACCATTTGTATTTTTATTTTTAAAATGAGATGGAGAGAAAGGGAGAGAACGTGAAAATGAGGATGTGTTTTTGTTTTTGTCTTTTAAATTAAAAATTTGTTAGGATTATATGTAGGTAATGCTTTTGAAAAAAAACTTAAAATTTAGTTTATGCAAATTATTTTGTTGTCCATAATTTTATTTTGTGATAGAAGACAAATGATTTTTACTCTCTTTTGGTGATAAAAAGAGTTTCATTAAGAGTAATGTTAGGTAGATTAAATTTGCAAACCAAATGATGTGTCACCAATAAAACATAAAAGAAATAAACTAATTATCAACTTTCATATCTTTGGTATACAAAATTCAGCATACATATTTAGTCTTCTTATTATTACCCTTTCATTAAAATGTAATTTAGATATGTTATTTAAATTAATATGCAGTTTAGAATAGGAGAGAGAAAACAATTTATTTTATTAAAAAAAATTGTGTGTCCCTTCTTCTTTTGCCAAATCAAAAGCCATTAGCTGCTTCCTACCATCATCTTTTTCGGCTTCCCTGAACCATGAACCATCATCTTCTTCGTCTTCCCGAAGCAACGATTTCGAGAACCATGAACCAAATCAAAAGGAGTTTTGGATTTATTTATTTATTTTATTCAAGAATACATAGAAAGTCGAGACTCGCAGAGCAGTTTCGAAAAAGTTTTGGCTCTTCTCCGAAGATGCTCCCAGGAGAAACAAAAAACAGAGTGAGAGAAGATGACAGGAGGAGAACCTTCCCATTCCAACTAGAGAAATAGTCCCTTAACTTTAACACAATTAAAGCAATGGTTCCTTAACTTTTGACATGACTCATTATAACAAAATTCAGATAGAGTTGGTAAAAAAATCATAGTTATGTATTTTTATAAGTCAAGAGATAAATGATCATAGATTTTTAGTTGAAGAACCGGTGCTGTAGTTGAATTAAAATTAAGGAACCAATGAGTCAATTTTCTGCAAAAAAAAAAAAAAAAAAAAAAGAAGAACTGAATTGAAGTTGGTATAACTTATGCAGGCTACTTCATCAGAGCAGATCGTGTTATACACTAGCTTTGCCATCGAGAGTCTGTCTGCTTTTTTTGATCAGGTTTCCTCCCCAGGTAAGCCTCACTATGCACTAATTGGTATGCTGTTGGCAATCGTGGCAGTACTTGTTTGCATCTGGGAGCTTATTCACAATGGTAAAAAGGAAAGAGTTGTACTGAGGAGGAGGGGAATGCTATGGTGCTTTTACTATCCACCTCCAAATAACAAACTTTTTGGTTCATTCGCCGAAATTACTGGATTAAGTCTTGGCATTGCTCAATGCATTTGCTCGGCAGTGCAGTATCATTTCATCCATCGCCATGCAATTAATCCTATGAAACTGTCCCTCTTGCCCTTCGCATACCTATTCGGTTTGGTTGTTTCAAAATTAGTTCAGAATCACAGGCTCACCGTTGATGACACCCTTCAGAATGGTACTTAAGCAACGACTCGATGGAGCAGCAGAAAGTTTTCTTTGCGGGGAAGCATGCCTTGAAGTTGTCGCCTGTAACCTTCTACGAAAGCTCGTATATAGCTTCTCTGTAGAAATAAAGATCATTGTTCAATAGATTATCAAGTTCTTTTATGTTTAGCAGTATTAATTATTGGGACTTGGGAGTATTCGTTAGATTCTACAATTGTCTACTCACATCGTAGTCCTACAAATTGAGATGTTTGCCTTAAATGGGATTCTCGTAGGTCTACTCAATCAATCTGGAAGATCTGAAAATGAATTAAAAAGAGAGGTTATAAATAGAACTCGATATACATAAATTCCCCACGATCTGAAAAATGAATAACAAAAAGAAATTGATATAAATAATTATCCAAATAAATACCTACCACATTAGGTTTAGGCCACAACATGACTGATATGAAAGTGTTGAGTTGAATTATTTTCCGTATTGTCAATTAGTATTACGATAAAATTTTTAATTTTTTTTATAGTATCAGAACATCTTGACCCCGTGCACTCCACATCACCTAATTTATTTTATCTACGTATTTAGCTTGAAAATTCACGATGAGCGTGTGAAAATATAAAAATAAAATAAAGAAACCTTGCAAAGTCTTACAGGAACTTGTGCTACTCTTTCTATTGTCAATTGATTTTATCGTGGAATCCAACTTCATTCTAGAGAGCAGGGATCAGATCTCTACATTGAGCATCCATCTTCTTCCAGGGACTATATTTACAGATAACTTTTCACTATTGCCAAAGGAAAGCAATTTCATACCTTTTCAGTTTTGTTCTCTGGCTTGCTGTATAAGATCTCAACCGCCTTCTCTGGTTGTCTCTCTTGTCACCAGGTCTGTCGACCGAAGTTCCACTGCTTTGGGTTCGAGATTTTGGCAGAGGATTAGAGCTGGACTAGGGCTATGAAGCAGCAGAGAAGCTCAGAAGAGAGAAGGTTCTAGCGTTTACGCCAAGGACGGCGCTAGGGTTTCACCAGAGAGATGAGATGAGCAGGTAAGTTCTGGAATTGGAGGAACCAGCATCAATTGAGTTTTTATAGACCCATGTGTTCACACCACATCAGGACCCGTCTTCAATACCAGGTACTTTCTTTCCTTTAGTCATTGTTTACGTCAGCGTCTTTTCGCCGATGCGTGTCAGCGTTTCTTGGCCTTTTATGTTTTACCTTCCCTCCCATCTGCGACGCGTTATTTGAAGTACTTTGTTATTGTCTTTGTCGTGGGATCCACCCACGTGGGATTTCTTTTTCTCCGCGCTATTTCCTCGCTCTTTCTTTTTTTTTCTTCCCTCTGTCTGCAACCCGTTATTTGATTATTTTGATTAACAAAGGTATGAATTTGTGACTAAAATATGAGTAGATATATGTGATTAAAATATTTTAAAAACAATATATGAGGTTGTAATTACATTTAAATTTTATAAGATAAATTGTAATTTATCCTATAAATACAAAACTGAAAACTAATGTTTTTTAAGTGATTAACGGTGAGGACCTACCTCTAGATTTAAACCGACTGAGAAAGATGTTTAGACAAACTGTAATTGATGAGAACCGACATATTTTGTCGAAATTTTCCAGTTCCTGAAGAGAAAGGGAGAATAAATGTTAATTTTAAATTCAACTTTCTTTATTTTTAATCATATTTGTTATTCCTTTAGTATTTCCTGGTAAAAACCACGAAATATCCCTACAACCGCAGAATGTATTTTTCACAATATATTTTTTTTGTTAAAGAGTAAATATTATTAGATACGAATTGAAATGTTTATATAAAAAACTAGAGAGTTAAACAACCATTTCAATTCAAAGCAATCTTATATATGATAGCCCACCACACGTGTGACATAATACGTCACCTGATGCGTAGCCCCATTACAGACACGGAGAGTGAAAATAAACTCAATCGAACTTAATTGCTACTTTAAATGCTGAATATTCCAAAGAATACTTTCAATGACGCACATTTGGTACTAAGATTGAACTTTTCAAGAGCTTTAGGCCCCGTTTGGGATTGAGGTGATTTTAAAAAAAGCCACTGTGAAAAAAAGCTGAGGGTCATTTTTGTGTTTGGTAAACTGAAAAAAAAGGGCTTATTTTGGAAGCTGCTGTGAAAATAAGCTGAAAATCAAAGGAAAAGCTGAAGCTGCTATTTGCTGCTTTGAAAAAAAGCCAGTTTTTTCAAAGCACACAGAGTTATAGTGCTCCTTTAATGAAAAGACACACTATCATCCTGATTTTTTTCCAAAAGCACTTTCACAAAAAAGTTTACCAAACACTCTACTGGCTTTATTTCACAGCCGCTTATTCTCACAGCAGTTTTTTTTCAAAGCACAGCAATACCAAACCAGCCCTTAGTGCGTCCTCTCTTTTCTATATATGGAAGAGAGAATACTGTCAAATTTAAAGGCATTAACTGACGGGAAAGTATGTTGTTGTAAGATGAAAACGGAGACGATGGAAGGCTATCTGAAAGACAGCAATGTTGGTGTCGATCTCGTCGTTGGAGGAGTAGTGACGCCCACTGACACTGCCAATCACGAGCTTGCTGCTCAGGTCCTCTCTCTCTCTCTCTCTCTCTCTCTCTCTCTCTCTCTCTCTCTCTCTCTCTCTCTCTCTCTCTCCAATCAATTAAGTTCATTAGTTCCCCTAAACCAAATTTCTATATGCATCGTTACCAACTCATTTTTCGTTTTTATTTCAACTCGCAGGCAATTTGAGGAAGGTACGCGGTTAATCCAACCATGCGAGGGTGGTAACTCACGCTGCCTAACCAGGTCATCCGAATCTGAGCTTTCTGAAAGTGGTTCAGTTGGAGAGGTGCGCATCATTTTAATTTATTCTTTGATCAAACTTTCCTTGTCTTAGCTCTTAAGCAAATATTTTCTTCTCGTACTGGTTTATCCTTTGAAATTTCAAATCAACTTTGAAGGAATTTGGGTGATTACAACTCTTGATTGCAGGGTGTCTATAATTCAAATCCTAGTGGTTTTTTTACACTTGGCATTGACTCCCGCGATGAAAATGATGAGGTTGACCAGCAACACGACGGGATACGGGTATTGGTCTAGAGCTTCTGTCAGCTGGTTTTTATCGAGAGAGGATACTCGTGGGATCCTTTACAGAAATCCTTCAATTATATCTGTTCATCATATATTGTGCGGTTAATTTTTGTAAGTTACTATTTATATTCAATTTTAAATAAAAAAATTTATAATAATTTCTGACCGCACGATGTACGACGAACGAATATAATTGGAAGATTCTCAGAATCCTTACAAAGAAGATCCGAAGAGAATTCTGTTGGGGTTTTATCCATGGCATGGGAAGGTTCTATGTTTTCTAATTAAAAAAAATATTGTAAAAATATCTCTCAATTTTATTCTGATTGGAGTAAAAAAAAACATTTTTTTATTAGAGAATAATGCTAAGAAGATCAAATTTTTTAAATCAAAACTTGTTTGTTTCTTATTAATGACATATCATTTTATTTAAAAAATTTAATTTGTTGTAAACATTCCTAGAATAAGTGTGATTGTGTAAATCCTAGATTAGATTTGATTCTAGTTATCCTTTCCTATTACAACTTGTATTACTTGGAGGAGAAGGAATATCTTCTCTCCCTTTACTACTATAAATAAAGGCACAATGTAAGAGAGATAACAACGTATACATTCCCCTACAATCAGTGGCGGATCCAGGAATCTTACCCCAAGGGGTCGTAGTGTAAAAGTTCAAATAAAAATTTAGGATGGAAAAACATATTGAAAATGAAATCATAGTACTTTCATTCATAATTCATAATGGAAACAATATTACAAACTATAATTGTCCACGACGAGGTTTCATATTTTGAAAACGGAGCATTATAGCTTCATTTTCAATACAAGCAAAAATATCTCTCTCAATATAAACAAGCAAGCTATCACTCAACCATTGATCTCCCATTTTGTTCCTAAGTGGACCCTTAACAATATTCATGACAGAAAATGCTCTCTCCACTGAAGCAGTTGCAACTGGTAAAACTAAAGACAATGTAATGAGCAAATATACATAATTGAATACTTGATGCATCCTTGTCTCCACCATTTTTTTTTGCAAGATCACCAATCCCTTCCAATTGAGAGAAATCACTACTGGAACACACATAATGAATATAAATCTCAAGTTGATCTTCAAGTGCCAAACGATCTTCATCCGAAAAGTCTTGAGGATAAAATTGAGCAAGACGAAGTAACTTTGGTTTATCAAAAGCTACAAATGAATCTTTCGGACTCAAACATGCCATACAAATAAGCAACTCGGTATTTACCTCATTAAAGCGATCCTCTAACTCCGTAATTTGCTCATCAATGACATAAATAAAGAGCTCCACACGATAATGATGACGATTTGTCTTTATTGGAGCATAACGCCTTGACCTCCCTGGAAGTATAAATGCCTCTTCCATGTTAGGAACATCAATATGATGTTTTTCACAAAAAGAAGATACTTCATCAACCAATGCATCGAACCCATTATTCCTCATCCAATATAGCTTTTCCTTGCATGATTTCACTAAAGCCATTGCATTCACAATTTCTTGATCTTTCCTTTGCAATGCTTGTGACAAATCATTTGTGAGTCCCAATATGACTTTCATCAAGAAAAGGTGAAACACAAACTCAAAAGTAAGTATCACTCTCATTAACGTATTTGCTTCACCCGCACTTTCATTGGGATTATCATCAATAACCATTTGAAGCACATGAACCACGGATGAAAACATAGAAATGATGCTAATCAAGGTACCATAGTGTGAGTTCCATCGTGTGTCACCGGCACGTTTGAGACTTGTTTCTTGATTTAAGCCTCGCCCCGTTATAAGACAATCATTTTCAAAAGCTATCACAAGCTCTTCTTGAAGTTGCCCTCTAAGTGAATCACGCCGCTTACAAGATGCTCCAACATGATTAACCACATTATTAGCCGTTGCAAAAAAAGAGGCAATGTCTATATTATTCTTTGCTACGGCAACAAGAGCTAGTTGAAGTTGATGAGCAAAGCAATGAACATAATATGCACAAGGTTGTTCTCTCAATATCTTTGTTTTAAGGTCATTCAACTCACCTCTCATATTGCTAGCACCATCATAACCTTGTCCTCATAGCTTGGAAATGCTCAAACCGTAGCGAGAAAACAATGTGTCAATAGCATCCTTTAGTGAACTTGAAGTAGTGTCGGTAACATGTTGGATACCCACAAATCTTTCAATTACATGCCCGTTGTCATCCACATAACGCAACACCATAGCCATTTGCTCTTTCACAGACACATCACGTGCTTCATCCACCAATATTGAAAAGAATTTATCTTTTAGACCATCCATGATAGCATCAAGTGTTTCAAGGGCACATGAATTCACAATTTCTTTTTGAATGGAAGGAGCTAGTAATTTGAGATTCCCCGGAGCATTTTCCATCACAACTTCTCTAACTTTATCATTATTTATCTGCAAGGAATTGCAATAACTCCAAGTAATTTCCCCTATTGCTTGAAGTGGCACTTTCATCATGGCCACGAAAAGGAAGACCTTGTCGCAATAAAAACTTAGTGCACTTGATTGAAGCAATCAAGCATGTGCGATAAGCCTTACGAGTTTGGTCAGAGTGTTTGCTCACTGCCGTTTCAATATGTGTAGCTTGATTCATCAAATTTGTAGCAGCTTCTCTAGCCTTATTATGAACACTCCCAACCGGTCCAACATGCATCTTAAATCTTTCTCTCCCTTTCTTCCAATTCTTAAATCCATCTCCAGTGAAAGCTTCACTACCCACTTGTTCAAAATTGGTTTTAAAGAGATAGCAATAGAGACAAAATGCCGCATCTTTAGATACACTATACTCCAACCAATCAAACTCATCAAACCATTGGGGAATGAAGCGTCGATTAATTCCCGACATATTAGTTATTGGGAAATTATGACCTCTAGGTTGACAAAGTCCTTTTTGTAGATATAATCTTCGGACCTCATCTCTCATATTAGCGTCATAATCTATTATTCGAGTTCTTAATCCAGGATCCGCTTGAAGATTACCCAAAACATCATCTAACTGACTTTGTCTTGAACTTGGAGTTCTTGAACTACCAACAGTATTTGAACTATCAACATTATTCGAACTACCCGAACCCGATGATGACTTTCTCTTAAAAAACCGTTCCATAATAATGCTTGCTACATATACAAAATATTCAAAATAAATACTCACAATATAAACAAACCATAAACATAATCAAAATAAATATGAATTGGATTTTCAATTAAATTAAATATCTCATCTTGCATTCTAATTTCTACATATACAAAATAATGAAAATAAAAACTCACAATATAAACAAACCATCAATATAATCAAAATAAATATGAATTGAATTTCAATTAAATTAAATATATTCTACATATACAAAATATTCAAAATAAATACTCACAATATAAACAAACCATAAACATAATCAAAATAAATATGAATTGGATTTTCAATTAAATTAAATATCTCATCTTGCATTCTACATATACAAAATAATGAAAATAAAAAATCACAATATAAACAAACCATCAATAAAAACAAACCAATAAAAACTCACAATATAAACAAAATCATCAATATAAACAAACCATCAATAAAAACTCACAAATAAAAACTCACAAGATAAATATGAATTGAATTTCAATTAATTAAATATATTCTACATATACAAAATATTCAAAATAAATACTCACATCACAATATAAAAACCAAGGGAGGAGATGGAGTTGGAGCCGCCAGCAGAGGAGGGAGGAGATGGAGTTGGAGCCGCCAGCAGAGGAGGGAGGAGATGGAGTTCACGTTTGGGGCGGCAGCAGCTATGGAGGAGAGGAGTTGAGGATTTGGGGGGATTGAGTTAGGGTTGAAGGATGAAAATTTGGGGCTTTTAATTGTATAGGGATCGGGTAGGAAGGGCTGGGATGGGGAGGGACACGGTGGGAAATTTTTTTTTTTTTTTTTTTTTTTTTTTCGGCCTGGCCCAAAACGACGTCGTTTTGGCCAGGTCATTTAAAAAAATTTCATGGGCCAAAACGACGTCGTTTTGCCCAGGTTTTTTCAAAATCAAAACTGGCGCACAGCGCCTTCGTCTTCTTCGTTCGTCCTCCTGCCCAGAAAACCGACGACTCCAACGGCAACGGGGTCGCACCAGGGGTCGCCCCACCATCTCCAAGGGGTCTCGAAGGTTGCTTCCATGGCTTCCAAGGGGTCGCGCGACCCCAATGACCCCACTGTGGATCCGCCACTGCCTACAATTCTACAAACACACATCTCTCTCATCTCTCTCTCTGCCGCCGGCCCTAGTCTCTCTGTCAGATAAAAATATACTACAACACGTTATTACGCTCCTACCGCTGCGCTTAGGAATCTGACGTTGGAGATTTTTTTCTGCATCAAACCAGTTCATCCATATCATCACGCAATCAGGTTCTTTCCAAACAACGGTTTTTAACTCGATATTTTGCAAGCCATGATAGCATGAACATTCACCATGATGCATAACCCAACTTTACGTTTAACGTATATTAGATTCTACATAAATTGTGTATGCTTCATCACCAAAATTGCTACAATTATGTGAATTTGATATTTGTCATGAACTGAATCTTACATATGTACATGTATTGAAACTATTATTTGCATATGCATCAACGTAAATATGTGATTCATTAGAATTATACATGCATATAATATAATTGCATTAAATTTTTTTTTTTGCGATTGGGGAATTAGGGTTCTTCGAACCCGTGCTTTTCCCGAGCCGAGAACCAATCCTGGAGTCACGGCTCCAGGCCCAACACCCAGACCCGACGCCCAGCAGGCGTCGCCACCCTTGAAATCGTCAACCAACATGGCCTGCAGCCATGCCCAGTTACCCCCGACGACTTGCAGTCGTCCCCGACGAATGTTTTGTCTGAAAATTCAATTTTTTTGAAATTACAATCGAATTTCTAGGGTTTTGACAATGAATATCGAGATTTTTTAAATCTCCGTTCACCCCCATGGTCAGCATGACTCAAATCGAGTCTTCCACAAAACCGCGACCGACGCCAGAAGTGCTAAGTCCGGTGTTCTCCTCCGGCGACACACACCCAGCACTCGCTGGGGTGTTTGATCCTAAAAACCTGAGCCCCACTGGGCTCCTGTCCCTCGGCCTGCATCAGCTCCCTTTTGGGCTTGCTGCTGCTCTGCGATGTCACAGCCCAGCCCGTGTCGAAAGAAAAAAAAACAAATT